TAAACTTTAATTCTGGGTACTATAATTGTAGTATCGTACGAGATTAAAACTTTGAATTCGGGCATCCGTCAATCTTATCGTTGCATGATCATTAAAAGAAAACAAATGTCTTTTCATAAATTCGTGGTAATCTAATGATGATTTGTCAATTGGCAATAAACATGTCAGAGCTCATAAAAATTGTTAATTGATTTACTCCAATGAGTAAAAAAATCGGTTAAATTTCTAAGAGCATTAACTTTACAATTGTAAATACTCCGTATATTAAATTTGTCTTCTTTACCCATGAAAAACCTTAAATAATATGGACTACGGGAATACGGGGTATGTAACTGTATAGTATAAACACGAAATAGAAAAATTATACACGATTTACACATTTTACGGAGTATAGCCATGAAGGCGGGGTGAGAATCGATCCCAAGATCTCCCCTTCTCGTAAAGTTTAGATTTTAGATTTATCCAAATCCAACGAATAAAAAAGGAGTGGAAAAAAATGAATATCACATCAGTAGTTCAGTACTTACTGATTGATTAAATTTTTTTACCTGAGAAAAGTAAAGTAAGATAATCATTCTTACATTCATTCAAAGATCAATCATTCACATTCATGAATCATGATCCCTCTAATTTTTGGTTTGTTGATGAGAATATTAGTATAGTACTATTATAAATCAAAATAATTAATGATCTTGAAACTTTGGGCCCAACCCAGTACACTTTTTTGAACAAATCCACATTTTTATAGTCTGTTTAGGGCTGGCCCACCATTTCTTTTTGGCCTAACAAACTTTACATTATCTTCACACTTGAGGAGTTTGGGTGGACAATTCTCACATGCAATTGGTTTTATCAAGAGTCCTGTCTTCCATCATTACTCATTAGGTGTGTTTAGTAGTCGCATTTAGGGTTCTAGTTATCAAACTTAAGGGTTGTTTTATATGAGTTTCTAAATCATTAGGTTCATTGATAATTACTTTGACTAGATTGATCTCAGTTTTTTGCCTTCTTAATTAGCTTTTGAGAAAAGTTTATTATCCGTTATATGATTAACTATTGAGTGAAATGACATAAATAAGGTTTAAACGTTGTCTTTTATAAAGGAAATTCATTTATTTTATTTTTTTAAAAAAATCCTATTGTCTGCTTCACTTGTGTCTCATCCGTCTTACTAACCCACATTACATTGTACTAGTTAATTTTATCTTTTTCCATGCATGGACATTCTGATACATTGGAAAACCTTTTTATATACACTCGGGTACACATAGAGTTTGGCGTATAAAAGGGTAATTTTTTTGCTCATTTGATATTAAATGAGAAAATATTATTAGATGAGCAGAAAAACCATTGGGTGCACTTAACACCTGAGTGTATATAAAAATTTTCATAACATATTTGGTATTATAATTCTTCATAATATCAAAAAATTTCATTTTATAAAAGTTGTTTAACTTCATAAATGTGAGGAACTTATTTTACACATAATAATATATAAACTTGTCCTTTTATTCCTTCAACCCTAATTGGCTACAATGTACGTCTTAATTGCGAGCAACTTAAATTTCAAGAATATACTCCCTTTTGTGTCAAAATGTTGTTTCATCTTCAACACCCTAAAAGTTAAAGTGTTAAGCTTTGTGTATGGTTGCATGAAAATCTGTACAAATTATCCCCTAATTAAAATAATCTTTATTTCTCTTACAGAATTTACTATATGTAATTTAACTTGGAGATTAAAGTAGTTTTAACTGCTTGAAAACACATTTACATTGGACTTTATTTTGTCACTTAAAATGGATGACTTAAAATAGGTTGGTATAGCCCATCGAACTTAGCACAAGCTGATAAAAGTAGATACAATGGACACCAAGTTGCCTCAATTTGAAGCTAGAGCCCAATCCTAAGTAAAAAAAAAAAAGGAGGCAAACAATATTGGTTTTAGAGTACCTTATCTTATACAATATGTATATTCTAATTACAATTAGAGATCAAGTTGGTTGCATTGTTATATGAAAATTGAAAGTACAAAAATAGAAAAAAAAGGACACAAAATTAAAGAATTTAAATTTCACTAAACAGGGACTTCTTTGTTGTAAAATAAAATCAAGTAACTTAACAACAATCGAGTCCATATAGACTCCCTTAGCTTTTCCACACATTATGAGTGGGACATTGGCTTCCCAATCTACTAAAACTACAAGAAAAATCTCTTTTCGTAGCGATTGTACATTTGCTACAATATGCAAGTATGTTTGTGAAATAATTAAGGATGTCGTATCATTTTTACAATCGCCATGGTTTTCCCATATAAAATCGATACGGAAAACGTAATAATACATATCCACACTATTTTTACACATTTATAAAATTTTGAGAAATCGTATCATTTACAATCGCCACTAAATCCTAAAAATCGATACGAAAAGCCTTTTCAACATTAGATATATAAATATTGTTTGACAAAGAATACATAAAATATGTCATAACTTATTGGTGAAACATTTAATATAAGAGTTTTAGGTTCGAATCTTGTAAAGATCATACGCATGTTTTTTTTTTTGAAGAAAATGAGTTAAACATTTATAGCGATTTTCGTTGGGAAAGCTTTTTGTTGCAATTACAATCGATACTAAAGGTTAAAATAATCGCTACGAAAAGGTTATTTTCGTGTAGTGTAGATCAATATAAAATTTGGACATGGATGAAATTCCACAAAGGTATGCAAGGAGGGAATAGTTTCCAAAAGGTATTAAACATGTAATTATTCAAACTTAGCGATACGAGAACTCGTGAAGGACAGACTTGAAAGAGTCTTCGATCAATTATGTACAAGTGTTAGGAATTCATTTCATAAGAGCAAGCAAATTAGTTGAAAAAGATTCTTGATATATATGTTCTCTATATTAACTTATTAAGAGCATAATCATAAGACTATGTAGGTAACTATTCCGGCTTATGAGATATACTGTGGTAGTGAAGGCTATCAAGCCGCTAGAGCTATTGCGTATTACGACTAATTTAGTGTTTCACAAGTGCACAAAATCTTTTACTGTAATAAGGTTGTTAAATATTGTAAATGAACTTATTTCCTAAAAGAGTTACTTGTTTTTGTCTAAAATTAAGGTTTTCAAAATTTATTTTACTACTCCACTATTTTAACCCTTTTTTTTTTTTTTTTTTTTTTACAGCCGTTTGTACGGTAATTAAATGGGTTAAAATTCCTTTATAAAAAATAAAATAAAATGGTAGTAACGGAGTAATTTAAGATGAAATACACAGTAAATACAGAAGAATGTTTCCTCTTCATCGTGTTCTTGAATATAGCGTACTCTAATTTCTCCATTGTAGCGGCTTGTGAGCTTTCTTTCCTCCATTGAAGCAGTTTCTGAGGTTAGATGTTTTTTTTTTTTTTTTAAATTTTTTTTAAATCATCGAATAATCAATTTAGGGTTCTTCTAAAATGAATTATTGAACTATTATAACTGAAAGATTTTAACTTTAGTTTTTAGAACTTTGCTATTCATATTCTTTGGCAAAAATTGATAAATGATTCAAATTTGTTGCTAATTGTCGCAGGAATTTTTTATTTTTAATAATGTCTGGTGATTCGAAGGCTGAAACTGGGGACCCAAAGTCTAAAAATGGTGAGTTTGTGATTCTTCGACGCTAATTGCTATGTATTTAGTTTTTAATGGAGGGTTAATGTAGTTGTTAATAACCTGGAATTGTAGCCGGGAAGAAGAAGAAGGAGGTGAAGAAAGAAACTGGATTAGGGTTAACTTACAAGAAGGATGAGAATTTTGGGGAGTGGTATTCTGAGGTATTTTGATTTATAATTCTATATTTGGGTAAATTTATACTAGTATCTGGTAATTAGAGTTCTTGGGTTGAAATGCTATGTGTGATTGATAATGCAGGTTGTTGTGAATTCGGAAATGATAGAGTATTATGATATTTCCGGGTGTTACATTCTGAGGCCGTGGACTATGGCGATTTGGGAGGCTATGCAAGTGAGTAGCTATCATCTTTGATTTCAATAAGATGCCGAAACTTGTTGTAGAAAGAAACTGTGAATGCCTTTAGCAATTGACTTACTTTAGTGGTTGGGATATTTTATTGATGAATGAGTTAGGGTTTCGTGAGCTTGTCAATTTGTAAAACGAACTTTTATTGAATGTTCGGCTGCAATATAGCATTACTACTCCAAATTTGGATAGGACTATAGGAGGTAGGGTTCCTGGTTGCCTTTTCAATTATATTTTTGCTGCTGTTTGTGTTTATACATTTCAAAGTTATGTTGCAAGCTCTTTTAAGGAAGGACTATGGTGACTTAGTGTATTAGCGTGATGTATTAATTTAAGGATTATGTACATGATATGTTATTAGAAGTATTTGAGAAGGATATAAATAAAGTTATATATTTATTTTCTGAAATTTGCCACAGTGATTGAGGGAAGGATTCAGTTTTCGGTTGAAGTGAACAATTAGATGGTCTAGGAGTTTTTTTTTTTTATCATGCTGGACAAATTTTTAGGGTCAATTTGAAATATTCTTAGTTGTACTAAGAATCAAAGGTCATTGCCTTAAAGGCTTAAAGCAACTCCAGCCTCAATGCCTCATTGCCTCCTTGATCTCATGTTGTTTTTGAATGACAATTGCTGCTTGATTGAAGCTTCACTGAATATCTGCCAACAACCATTGGGGAAATTTCTACTTTTCTCAATCTAGAGAGTAGAGTCAGTAGAGTTAGGGTATGAAACAAGCTGATTTTAGGCTTTTACTGTCACCTTTAAAAGTTGATTGCAGGATTAATGAGCTCATATCAACTTAGAAAAAGGATCATTAAGCTTTGATAAGTTTAGATTAGTTTAATTCAACTCCTGACTTGTATAAGTCTTTGCTGAGGACTATTGATTTAATTATAGAGATACGGACATCTTCCCTAATTATTATGTCATTCTATATTTTAAAAATCTTAGGAATTTTTTGATGTGGAAATCAAGAAGATGAAGATTAAAAATTGCTACTTCCCACTGTTCGTCTCTCCTGGTGTTTTGGAGAAGGAAAAAGATCACATTGAAGGTTTTGCCCCTGAGGTAAGTTTATATGAGCGCATTTATTTTATTGAGCAATAGCTTTCAAAGGAATGCTGGCTTTGTTGCTAGTTTGGACCAGGTCGGCAGAGCTGTTATTAAATTTTTATTGGGGGTTTTTATGCTCATTGTTGAACTTTTTGGAGGTGCCTATTGCTATTCGTCCCACTAGTGAGATTGTTATGTACCCATATTATTCAAAGTGGATTAGGGGACACCGTGACTTGCCTCTAAGGCTGAATCAGTGGTGTAATGTTGTTCGTTGGGAATTTAGCAATCCTACTCCTTTTATCAGGTAGTATAATGTATACTTTTCTACAAAATGCCTTTTAGTTCCATTAAGTAATACATATATTTTTTTTCGTGTCTTTTTAAAGACTAATAGAAAGATCCATATAGTGGTTGAAAAAAAAAGAAGCTATCCTGTAGGTCTGATAATTATTGAAAGTTTGAAACTATTATGAAGCATGTTGGAGTTATACTTTTCAGTTACCATTTATTTTTCAATGTTACTATCTACTAATTTGTGATTGTAAGGTCAAGGCCACTATATCTGCAAAGTGTATGTATGTAAGTAATTAAGTATAGAAAGCAGTATTCTTTTAGTCAAGAATTTGATTTCCCATTTTGAGCTGTTATAATTTGTATAGTCAAGAGCAAGTCTAGATGACATTCTATCAGGTAGTTGGAAGAAATGATTATTGATTCGGACATACATCTTTGAATGATATACAAAGGGTCAAAGGCTATTTTTAATCTGTTAAAAACAAAGGTAGAAGTACTATAGAAAGGATAATAGCTAATTTGTTAGTCAGGAGCAAAAGTATTTTCTAAGAAATCGGTCTTGTGAGAGAGAAATGTAGGTCTTAATAATCTTTGTTACATGCAAATGATCTTCTATATAAAAGCTTATATATGCTTGTTCTTGTGTTTGTAGGAGTCGTGAATTTCTCTGGCAAGAAGGCCATACAGCTTTTGCAACACAGGAAGAGGCAGATGCTGAGGTATGAGCACATGATAGTGTACTTTGCTAACTATTGCAAGTTTAACTAAATACTTTATTGTATTGGCTTATTGGCATTGGCAAATGATGTATAAGATTAATAAGAAATCAAGACCTGAATTGCAATTTACTGCCCTGAGTGGATTAATAATTTAATACTTCCAGCAACCCCTAACCCCCCACCCCCTAGAATTCTGACTTAGGTCATATGCTCCAATTCTCAATACATTTGCAAGCCAATTCACTGTAGTATGTGATCCAGTTCATCTAGGTTTGCTTGCTGAAAAACTTGGTGCTTTTGTCATTTTGGATCTATGATCTAGTCAGCTATAAGTTATCGTCTCTGGTTAGCTTTGTCATGGGGATAATGGATGTAGCAAAAAATCAAGAGAACAAATAATCTAGATCATAGAGGCATTATATTAAACAGAATGAAGATGTAGTTTTATGGCTATTGGTTATTGGTGATGTGATTCCGTCAATACCCGTTCCTGTGCTCAGGCATGTTGTACCGTTGCAAGGAGGGAGTGGTGGAGAGACAGGGAGTTGGGTTAGTTTGAGTTGGGAAGGAAAAAGTAAATTTAAAAAAGGTACTATTTTTTTAATATTTTAATTCTATTATTTTTTAAAAGTAATCTTATCTATTATTAGAGATTTAGCTATCAATTTTCTAGACAAAAATCCTTTCTCAATTTCTCTCACCTCAGCCTGGGCCATATCATCTGACACCATATTATGATCTGAATAACCATGTTGACCAGAACCCCCAAATGTATGATAAACTCCCAACAAGCGTATTGCAATCTTGTCCTCATTACACATAACAAAGCGTACTACGTTAATAGGTAACCTGGTCCCAACTAAAATCTGTTTGTGCTGTTCTTTGAACAACTTTTTTCAAGAGTTTTTCACATCCTGTGAAAGCTGATAGAGTTTGGTGTTTTCTCTGTATACAAATTCTGTTGGATGTTGGAGGGTAACTAGTAACATCCTTTTGTACATTTCTTTTTTCTTTTCAAATCACACGGTTTTAAAGTGGTCTTGATCATCCATTAGTCTCCAAAACAAAAACTTGATGTTACCACATATTTTGATTGCTGCTTTAGGTTCTTGATATATTGGAACTCTACCGACGAATATATGAAGAATTTTTGGCTGTTCCGGTGGTCAAGGGCAAGAAAAGTGAAATGGAGAAGTTTGCAGGTGGATATTACACGACAAGTGTTGAAGTAAGTGAGAGTTGAAGCTGATTTTTATTTGAGTTTTTATTTGTTGATTATTGGAATCACGATGAGTGTTGTATTATGTAATTTGGGACGTATTTTTGTCTTGTTGCATTAAAAATCCTAAATTGTATATCATTTTCCTATTCCAGGCATTTATTCCAAACACTGGACGTGGTGTTCAAGGTGCAACCTCACATTGTTTGGGTCAAAATTTTGCAAAGATGTTTGAAATCACTTATGAAAATGAGAAAGGAGAGAAGGCAATGGTGTGGCAGAACTCATGGGCATACAGTACCAGAACGGTTTGCTTTCCACTATTTGCTATTTTTGTTTTAAGTTGTTTGATTGGAGCTTTTGTGCAACTTCCCCATCTACAGCATCATGGTACTATTCTGTTGGAACACTGTAGACTGTTTCCAAGAGATAGGAAGGGCTGAGAGCTAGTCAGCTAATGTATACTAATTTGATCATTGAGGATCTTAACATACATTCTCAATGTGGTACAATACCAACGAGGGTTTTTAAAGAGGCAAGAGGCGGTGAAATTGTTTCTATATAGGATGGGCTGATCATGCCACTTGTTTGTTGAATATGATCCCTTTAATTGACGAAAGGCCTTTTCAAATCTTAATTTATATTCCTTTTATTTGCAGATAGGGGTTATGGTGATGACACATGGTGATGACAAAGGCTTAGTTTTGCCACCTAAAGTAGCAGCTGTCCAAGTCATTGTGGTGCCTGTTCCTTTCAAAGATGCCGATACACAAGGAATTTTTGATGCTTGTGCTTTTACTGTCAAAACTTTGAGTGAAGCAGGCATTCGGGCTGAGTGTGATCTTAGGGATAACTATTCTCCAGGTTGGAAGTACTCACACTGGGAGATGAAAGGTGTTCCATTGAGGCTTGAGATTGGACCAAAGGATTTGGCCAATATATGCATGTCTCTTTCAAAAAGTTGTTATATTTCATGATCTATGTATTTCTTATCTAAAAATTACTATTTTTGGTTTATCCGATCAATGGTTTATGTGATGGTACGGAGAATTGTTGAGAGTGTTTTTCTCTTATTATGTGTTTCATTACCATATGTGCCGATAGAGCTGTCAAAAGTTGACCCGACTCGAAATACTGACTCAAACCCGATTATTAACCAACCCATTTGAACCCGAAGAAATGGTGACCCAAACCCGACCTCACCCGACCTGAAACCAACCCTAGACCCGAGTTGACCCGAGTATGTGAGACCCGATCCCGAACATGAACTGACCTAGAGATGACCCGACCAGAATGTAACCCGTAAATTATCAACCTGAACCGAACCCGACTTGAAACGAAATTGACCCAAACCCGTTTTAAACCGTCAAAACCTGAATTTTACCCGACTTGTTACTAACATGACCTGAATTCAACCCGATCCGTTCCTAACCTAACCCGAATTTAACCCAACCTTTTACAAACCCGACCCGAAATCAACCCCACTCGTTATTGACCTGACCCAAATTCAACCCGGCTTGTTATTAACTCGACCCGAATTTTACCAGACCTGGTACTAACCCGACCCTAAAATTCAACCCGATTTGTTACTAATCCGACTCGAAATCAACACGACTTGTTATTCACCCGACCTAAATTCAACCCAAATTGTTCCTGACCCGATTTCAAATCACTTTAAATGAAATTTAGACCACGTTATTATTGTTGATCAAAGCATTTTGTCTAGGGAGACCAAGTCGGTCCACGCCAGCAAAAGAAAGGAGCATCATCCTCAAATTTAAGAGTTAAATATAGTATATATTTGTTGTATGGTCAAAGGAGATAATTATCTTCCTAAATTATAGACTATAGTTCCCTAGTATATTGTCATATATATTATAGTCAAAGGAAATAATTAGCTTGATAAAAATGATAATTATCTATTTATAGTTAATTGAACCCGAATATGACCTGATTTGGAAATGACCCGACCTGATTGTAACCAGCAAATTATTAACTTGAACATAACCCAACTTGAATCCAAGAATAACCCGACTTGGAAATGACCCAACCTGATTATAACCCGCAAATTATTGACTTGAATCGAACCCGACTTAAACTCGAGAATGACCCGACTTGAAAATGACCAGACCTGATTATAACCCGTAAATTATTGACTTGACCCAAACCCAACTCAAACCCTAGAATGACCCGACCTGATTATAACCCGCAAAATATTCACTTGAATCGTCCCGACTCGAACTTGAGAATTACCCTAACCCATTTTAACCCGTGAAAACCCGAATTAAACCCGACCTATTGTCCACCAGACCCGAATGTAACCCCACCTTTTTATTAACCCGACCTAAACCCGACCCAAACTAGATAAGAAGTATGACCTAATGTGACCCAACTCAAGCATGACCCAACCCAAACCCAACCCACATAGGTTATGGAATTAATCCGAATTGACCCAACCCACTCTTATTGACCCAAACCCGACCCGTTTACCCGAATTGACAGCTCTACCCGAAACCTCTAAAATTTCTCAAAAAGCGAGGATATTAGACTTCAATTTCGGAATTTTTTGACTTTTTATCGCCTGGATATAAAAATTGCCGAAATGTAACCAAGGTCCCTAATACCCTCCTTGAGTCCATTTGGGTGGGTGGAACTATCCAATTTACCTTTAATTTACCAATTAACCGGTTTACAACTTGCACCGATTTCATTAATTCAAGTCTACCACAAACATTTATGACAACAAATAATGATCATATATGGTTCCAAACGACATTATATGACCCCGAGATGTATTCCCTAGAATTTCAAGACTTTTTGAAATCAGGCCCTAAAGACTATCCAATTTGCCTTTAAACGACAAATTTACCGGTTTACAACTTGCACCGATTTCATTAACTCAAGCCTACCACGAACATTTATGACAACAAATAATGATCACATATGGTTCCAAACGGCATTATATGACCTAGAAATATATCCTCTAGATTTTCAAGACTTTTCGCCAGCGGGCCCTGAAACGTCTAAAATTTCTCAAAAAGTGTGAATATTAGCCTTCAATTTTGGGATTTTTTAAACTTTTGTCCCTCGCAAATAAAAATTGCTGAAATGTTTACCATGGTGCCAAATACCCTCCGGGAGTCCAATTGGGTGGATGGAACCATCAAATTTGCCTTTAGTCGACCAACTTCCCGATTTACAACTTGCACCGATTTCAAAAATTCAAGCCTAACTCGAAAATTTGTTACAACATATAATGATCATATATGGTTCCAAACGGCATTATATGACCACGAGATGTATCCCCTAAAATTTCAAGCCTTTTAAACACCGGGCCTTGAAACATCAAATTTTTTTAAATATGCGCGAATATTAGCCTTCAATTTTGGAATTTTTTGACTTTTTTTTGCAAGGAAATAAAAATTGGCAAAATATTTTCAATGGTCTCTATTACCCCATGGGAGTCCAATTAGGTGGGTAGAACCATCCAATTTGCCTTTAAACGACCAATTTACTGGTTTATCATTTGCACCGATTTCATTGACTCAAACTTACCACAAACATTTATGACAACAAATAATGATCAATTATGGGTCCAAACGACATTATATGACCACGAGATGTATTCCCTATAATTTCAAGACTTTTAGACACCGGGCCCCAAAAACTCCAAAATTTCTCAAAAATCGTGGATATTAGCCTTCACTTTTTGAATTTTTTGACTTTTTTTCGTCCGGAAATAAAAATTGCTAAAATGCTTACCATGGTCCCTAATACCCCCCGACAATCCAATTGGGTAGGTGGAGCCAACTAATTTGCCTTTAAACGACCAATTTACCGATTTACAAATTGCACCGATTTCATTAACTCAAGCCTACCATGAACATTTATGACAACATATAATGATTATATATGGTTCCAAACGGCATTATATATCCTCGAGATGTATCCCCTAAAATCTCAAGGTTTTTCGTCAACGGGCCCCGTAACATCCAAAAGTTCTTAAAAAGCGTGGATATTAGACCTCAATTTTGGATTTTTTTACTTTTTTCGCATGGAAAAAAAAATTTCCGAAATGTTTACCATGGTCCCTAATATCATTCGGGAGTCCAATTGGGTGGGTGGAACTATCCAATTTTCCTTTAAACGTCCTATTTACCGGTTTACAACTTACACTGATTTCATTAACTCAAGCCTACCACGAATATTTATGACAACATGTAATGGTCATATATGTTTCTAAACGACATTATATGACCTAAAGATATATCCTTTAAAATTTCAAGACTTTTTCACGAGGCCCCAAAACCTCCAAAATTTCCCAAAAAGTGTGAATATTAGCTTTCAATTTTGGAATTTTGTAACTTTTTTTCTCCTGGAAATAAAAATTGTAGAAATAATTATCATGGTCCCTTATACCCTCATTGGGTGGGTGGAACCGTTAAATGTGCCTTTAAATGGTCAATTTACTGATTTACAACTTGCTAAGATTTCATTAATTAAAGCTTACCACAAACATTTATTACAACATATGATGATCATATATTGTTCCAAACGGCATTATATGACCCAAAGACGTATCTCTTAAATTCTCAAGCCTTTTCGACTTGAGGCTTGAAACATCAAAAATTTCTCAAAAAGCGCTAATATTAGCCTTTAATTTAGGAATTTTTCGACTTTTTTTCGCCCATAAATAAAAATTTCCGAAATGCTTATATGATCCCTAATACCCCAAGGGATTCCGATTGGTTGGGTGGAACCATCCAATTTGCCTTTAAACGGCCAATTTACCGGTTTACAACTTGCACTGATTTTATTAAGTCAAGCCTACCACAAACATTTATGACAACAAATAATGATCATATATGGGTCCAAACGGCATTATATGACCACGAGATGTATTTGCTAAAATATCAAGACCGAAGCCTCCCAATTTTTTCAAAAAACAAGGATGTTAGCCTTCAATTTTTGAATTTTTTTTACTTATATTCGCCCAGAAACAAAAATTGTCGAAATGTTTACCAAGGTCCCTAATACCCTCCAGGAGTCCAATTAGGTGGGTGGAAGCATTCAATTTTCCTTTAAACGAACAATTTACCGGTTTACAACTTGCACGGATTTCATTAACTCAAGCCTAACACGAACATCTATGACAACATATGATGATCATATATGGTTCCAAACGGCATTATATGACCCCAGATGTATTCTCTAAAATCTCAATACTTTGCGACACCGGGCCCCGAAAACTCCAAAAAAGCGTGGACATTAGCCTTTAATTTTGGAAATTTTCAACTTTTTTGGCCCGAAAATAAAAATTGCCCAAATATTGACCATGGTCTCTAATACCCTCCGAGAGTCCAATTAGGTAAGTGGAACCATCCAATTTGCCTTTAAATGACCAATTTAACGGTTTACAACTTGCGCCGATTTCATTAACTCAAGTCTACCACAAACATTTATGAAAACATATAATGATCATATATGGTTATAAACGGCATTATATGACCCCGAGATGTATCCCCTATAATCTTAAGGCTTTTCGATTTCGGGTCCTAAAACCTTCAAAATTTCTTAAAAAGCGTGGATAATGCCTTTAATTTTGGAATTTTTTCACTTTTTTCGCCCGGAAATAAAAATTGCCGAAATATTTACCATGATCCCTAATACCCTCCGAGAGTCCTATTGGGTGGGTGGAACTATCCAATTTACCTTTAAACGACCAATATACCGGTTTACACTTTGCACCGATTTCATTAACTCAAGCCTACTATGAATATTTTTGATGACATATAATGATCATATATGGTTCCAAACGGCATTATATAACCCCCGAGATTTATTTCCTAGAAATTCTAGACTTTTTAATACCGAGCCTCAAAACCTTTAAAATTACGCAAAATAAGTGGATTATTCAATTTTGGAATTTTTTTACTTTATTCCACCCGAAAATAAAAATAGCCGAAATGTTTACCATGATCTTTAATACCCTCTGGGGGTGGGGTGGGCGGAAATATCCAATTTGCCTTTAAACGGCCAATTTACCAGTTTACAAC